GTGATTTAACAGTAACATTAAAAACGCGATATAATGAGATTTTTGTGTAATAAAATTATTTGTAATATTTTTCTTGTTGTTTGTGAAATTTTCTCGTTTATGGTATTTTGGTCATTTCATAACTAAATCGTAATGGAAACGACCGCAGAGAAACAAAATTACAAAACATAAAATACAAGGACTGCAAATAAAACAAATAATTTGAGTTCGCACAGCGGTAGAGCAGTAAACTGGCGCAAATAATGCCGCAAGAAATGCTACAACCACCCAGCACAGATTTTAAAAATTAAAAGCACTCATACGCCACCAACACCACCAACGCCACCAAAGGCACTAAAGGCACCAATATCACATACCAGTGCAAACATGGCAGTTTTGAGTATTTAAACACATTCACATTTAAAAGTATATTTGGCATATGCCATTGCCACTGCCGTTGGCTTCAGATTCAGCTTCAGCTTCAGATTCAACTTCGACCCTGCCACTGCTACTACCACTTTCACATCCACCTCCTTCACTTCCATATCCACCTCCTTCACTTCCATATTCACTTCTTCTATTTCCATTTCCACGACCACTTCCACTTCTGTTTCTGCTTCTGCTTCTGCTTCCACATTTAAACCGCATTCATTGCCATGACAAACGATGCGCACGATTGCCAACTTAACGAATTTAATTTAATTCGAAACGCACTGAATTCTAAAGCATTTCCGTTAGTGGGCGTGTAAGCGTAGAAGATTCTAAAGTTTTTATTTGTTTTGGACACTTATGTAGCTTTTGCGGCCAGGAAATTCCTATTTAAAATGCTTAAAGGCCAAAAGTGAAAGCGAATTCTCAAAGTACAAAGTACCAGGCAAAAAAAAAAATATAAACAAAATAATGTGCTGGAAAATAAAACTGATTATATAGCCGTCATGAAGAAGAGCATCAATAGCAATTGTGCAGTACAGCACAAACAATGGACCAAAAAAAACAGGAAAACAAAAAAAAAACAAGAAATAAATATGAAAAAATAAGGCCAAGCATAAAAGATATGAAATTGAAGTGCGAGAAAATTAATTTAGAAGCTTCAACGCTTTCACGTAACACGTAAATGAAAAAGTAAACGTAAAACACAAGAAATTTGCAGGAACTTCAGTCGTCACAGATAAAATAAAGCTAAAGATTCGCTTAGAGCTGGGAAGAAACTTACAAGAATCAAGCTAAAAATTTTTGTAAGCCATATAACTTTTTGTTTCGCGCTAAACCGGCATAATTATTTTAGCATATCTTCTTTCTCTGTACTTGCGGCAAAACTTCTCATACGTCCTGTAGTTTGAGTTCAACATGCCACACAATTTCGTAGAGTGCCACGTATAGATGTGCAAGAAAAGCTAAGGCAATCATTATTATTATTAAGCATAGAAATTGTTGTTATTTCCTTACTTTCCATTGTGTTTTCACTTCAACAATAAAGTATCTTTCCTTTCATATTGAGAGTGTGTGTAGCTGTGCCTTTGCACAGATATAACGTGAGCTGTTGCTTTGCTTCGACTCAGCATTGAAAAAGGAACGGAAGTTGTGCTTTCATTTTGCTAGCAGCGGCAAATACGGAAATGAAAATGAAAGTTGAATTTCATTTTAGCTCGTTTTTGGTTGTTTTTTGTTGTCGTGAAGAGTAAAAAAAGCAAACATTTAGTAAATTTGAAGAATGTTACAATCTTAGTCTATTGTATGACCCCGCACTCCTGCATCCAGTTCTTGCCAATGCGCATCATTCATCATAGAGACACATTTGGCATACAAAAGCCTACATAAGTAAGAGAAGCTGCACGTGTGAGTGCGTAATGCTTTTTATCTATGTACCCGCATCTATTCCAAATTTTTTTTTTATTTATTTTCCTCAATCTTAGCATATATCTTAGAGTTTTATTGCTTCATTTTAATTATATAAATAAAATTTTAGTCATTTTTTATGTGTGTTGACAAATGATTAATTAATATGACTTACTTTTAATTGCTTTATTCTTATCTATTTATGTGCTACTTTTTTAATAAATTTTTTCTTTATTAAAAAATTTATGTTTTTTTGTTCTTAGCTAACATTTTGATAAATTTTATTTTATTAAATTAATGTTTCTATATAAGAGATATTTTTTATAATAGGAAGTGTTATAAAGACGTGAATTGCAGCACTGAAATGATGCTTACAATAAATTGTAGTTCTTAATATTAATTAAATAATAAACATTCACGAACTGAGGTTCCTAAGACCACTGAAGATTGCTTACATGCTTACAATTATAATTATTACTAAAAGAGTAGACGTGAAAATTGCCTAACAGCCGGTACTGTGGCCAGAAGAGACCTATTGTACCAGTTTCACTATTGATTAAACAAAGCCCCTAAAAGCTTTGTGAATAAAGTATAGAACTAAATCTAGAGAAGAGTTCTTAATCTGTTCTGGTGACAGAAATTCTTTATGAAACAGGTTTCTATCAGTGCTTTGCTTTGTCTGAGTCCTGGAAAGTTTACCCAGTACTCTAGCCGCATATGAGTTTCCATTTCCTTGATAATCTGTTATGTACTGGCCCAGTTTATTCCACAAAAGGGTTGAGGGCTTTTTCATTTCCCAAAACTCCTCTGTGGCCCGGAACCCAGTAAAGGCTTACCTTATTCCGAGCTGCAAGTGATTGCAGAAGCTCGTAACACTCAAGGACCTGTTTTGATTTGAAACTTCAAGAAGAAAGAGCTTTAAGACCACCCTGGCTGTCAGAGTAAATAACGATTTTCTTGCCAGAAGATTTTTTGATTAAATTGGATTTTACGCATAAGTTGATTGCGTGGATTTCAGCTTGGAAGACACTCGGCCATGTGCCCATTGCCTCCGAAATGCTGGTGTTGGGTCCATATACACCAGCGCCAGTGCCTTCATCCATCTTTGATCCATCTGTGTACCAAACTAAACTTTTTGTATTTGCTTACAATAAATTGTAGTTCTTAATTAAATAATTAATTAAATAATAAACATTCACGAATTAATTACTCATAAGGCTACAGAAGATGAGTACTTGGCAATACTAGAAACAGCGTTGTGTGGTCAACCAAATTTCAAAAAATAACTAAATTTTTGTTCTTGTCTTTTCTTTGCTATTCGAATACTTCTAACTTTTAAAAATAGCTACTTTCTCGTCATAAGAAGCGTAACTTTCGGCAAAAATAATTAACTTTTCAAGAATTAATTTGAAGATTGTTTTAAATTAAATATTATAACCTTGACCTTTAGTTCCGCTCCTGGGGCCACCTTTCTATATTCATATACAAATCAAGGTAAATTATTATTGCGCATATTCTAGAAAAACTATTTCATTTATTCATTATTTATTAATAATTATTATTTACTCATTATTATTTTTAATCACAAAATAGTTTAAAGTGCATAATTAAAAAAACTGTACTGTTAGTGATGTTAGTCATGTTAGAGACTTGAGTTTTTTTGAGTCCCTAGTTGTAGACAAGTTCTGAAATGTTATGACTTAAGTGTGTGGCGTTCATGTGGCATTATTCTAAGAGAGAAGTTCACTTTGAAAACTAGAAATTGACAATCAAATTTTCATGTATATACATTTTGATTTTGTAAATTAGAAAATTTTAGAATTTTGAATTTGAATTATAAGCTCTTAATAAATATTAAAAACTCATTAAGAGTCAACATTAATACAAGTGGAAATAACAATTAAAAACTATGTCTATACTGCACTGGTATTAATTTATGACTTAGAACTATTATTTAGGCATTTAAATTGTATATTCCTACCTAGAGAGGTTTTCGAAAAATAGTAAACTACAACAACAAACAATTTTTTTTTATATTATTTTAAATAAATGAATTTTTGGCTGACCATACAGCCAAACACCCATCATCAGTGGTCTTAAAAATAATTCTTGAATTTAATTATTTGTAAATAATTTTTTTTAAACTGTAAGTACCAGGTATTGACTTGTGTCCTAGTTACCTAGTTAATTTTCAAGTCAAAATTTATAAAAGTTTTGCCGACATTTATAGAAAGCGGAGAAACTCTTACCTAAGTAACCCTCATATGTTCCTCAAGGAGCACTTAAATATCACTAAAAACTCAATGGTAAAATTGCATATATTAAGTTAGCATCAAATATCAATCAAGTATTGTAAAACTGTACGTTAATGATTTTAATTTAAAGTATTTAAAGTAAAAAACATATTTTTAGTTTTTAAGATAAGATGAGGTAATTAAGAGATTAGACAACTACCATAATTCCAATTCCTTGTGATTGTAAAGCATTAATACATTGAGTTCGGTAGTGGGCGTTACTTGTTGTTCATAGATGGAGTTTGTGGAAGATAAATGGTGTGCAAGAACCATAAATAAAACAAAATGAGTCGCCAGAACTGAAGAACATAATTATTCTGGTAGAACTTAGGTAGATTTGGAAAAATAATTCTTAGTTTAAGTATTTGAGGTAAGTATTTAAGTATTTGAGTCCTAACTTTACTCCTAACGTTTGAGTTTACATTTTTTGAAAAATTAAGTTTTATATAATCATGAATTACTTAAACCTCATTATGAAAATATTACGCTATATTTAACTTTTAGAATCATATAGTTGAAAGTCAAACATTTTAATTAGTAATGTTCAATCATATATCTTATTGCTTATCCAAATTTAGTTTCGAGGTTTTTTACTAATTAATGTTAATTGCAGCTCCAAACAGTAAAGTTGAAAAAAAATATGCAAAAGCAAAATAATTATGTATAACATAATTAATGTTCATTAAAACACTAGAAAATTCAAGTTTGTAAAGAACCTTTTCTTAGGTTCGTATATAGCTGGGGTTGAACTCAGCCGTCGCCAAAGTCCATACCAGAAATTTGTTTATTGAGACCCTGTCACTTTTGTTTATATCTATCGCCTGTACTGAAGTCAAGCTGAATTGTTGATAAATCGAGCGGAATCACAGTTACACTACACGCTCTACAGCGTCATAAAACATATGCATATATTCGAAAGATATGAAAGAATAGTTAAAATGTTACTCATACGCACCGTGAAACCAAATAAATCGCCGTTAGTAAATTATTTCCTTTTGTATGTTAACAAACTGCTGCTTCATGTACAATTTATGTTGATTTTTTGGTAATAAAATTGTGAGTAGAAAAATATCCTTACTCATCTTTATCCTTACTCATGCAAGCTTAAGCTCAAGTTTTGCACTAAAATGACGAAGGATTTTTCTCGATGTGTTAAACAAGCTAATTGACCTTAAATGATCAAAGGTAAAAGATTAGGTAAACAAGTTGTTGCATTGTTTTAATGACTTTGACTTTCTCTTTACTTCGCTTTCTTTTCATGTTTCCAAACAAAGCATATCTCAAAGATAAACTGCTTTATGGTGTGCAACCACCTGGAACAGATTTATATAAATGCTCGCTTAGACTTTACTTCCTTTAGAGATTGAGCAAATTTTTATGAATTTTTTGTTATTAATTTATATTGTTTTAGCATGAGTATGTGTGAGTGTGTATGCAGGTGTCTATGCCTGACTAAACGCTGCCATATTCGCACTAAGTGCCATTGCTTAAAAAGACATTAACGCAGTGACTTTGATGTCTTTGTTTGTAAGCATTTGTCAGACACACGACAC